TACGTTAATGTTTGACTATTCCTTTTAACTCCAATGAAAATAAAGTCAAAGTCTGTTAGAATAATCAAATATAACAATTTATTATGTCAGGTAAATGTATTATCACAATTCCATAATCAATTGAAAGATAATCAATGCAAATCATCAAATGTTCTAGAACAAAGAGGAAAATCTTTTACCCGACATGAAATACATGAATGCTGAGTCTCGGCGACTCAGCATCCACAGGCTGAACTGAGATACAGAAAGAGCCACGATCCCTTGCTGCATTCCATTAAATAGCCAGAACTTCTTTACAATGGTAATTTGCATTCAGGTTACACCTTATTTTGGGGGTAGGGGAGAAAAACCATTGCCTATCTTCCTTTGTGCCAGTTTCTCTAAACTTCTAAAAAACCTTATTACCTTTTGTTTTACTCTTTTGGAATGAGACATCTGAACCACTCAGTCTGGGACATTTAAAATGATACTAAACACAATAATCATTCACATTAAACCATATATATATTCTTATGTGAGTTTTAGCTGTTACTGGGTGAGGGAATGAAATGTAAATCAGGTGAGACTGCGTGAGGGGGAGGTCGAATGCTAATTTTCAGCAAGTTCCTTTGTTTCAATAGACCATGTCGTCAGGACAGTTTCTCCAACCAGTTTCACAGTCTTACAAAGCCAAATGTTAATTTCCAGCTTCAACCAGTTTTCTTCAGTCTTACAATGCACACCATCAGAAAGGATATTCTCCAAGGCTGGATTTAGCATCAGGAAAACCATGATCGCACTTCTGCCGGCCAACGTTAACAGGTTGGTTTTCCTCGGGACGATCTAAAACGCTTAACGTGAAAAAAGCTTTTAAAACGCTTAAATGCCACTTTTATGTGCTTAATGTATGTAGCCTACTGTGTAGGCTACACACCTTAAGAAACCATTCTATGTGCAGATAAGCAGATGAACCCAGAATATGAACGCAACGCGTTTCTCCTATAGAAAGTCACGTAAAGCTTTTTCTTTAAAGGGGTCATATAATGCCATTTTTATACAAGCTAATATGATTCTTTAGGGTCTAAATTAAAAGTTTGTAATATACTTTAATTAAAAATTCTCATTAGTATTGTAAGAAAACACTTATTTTACCTGGTCAAAAACAGCTCTGTTTTCAGCACGCCGTTTCAGTGCATATGACTTTAAATGATAATGAGCTTTGCTCACCCCGCCTCTCTGTTCTGCGCATACACCGTTTGTAACACAATAACACAATAACCACGCGTTGTTCATTATAAACGTGGGATTATGAATTATATTGAGAACGTTGTACATAGAAAACATGCTGTAATGTACCCTGAGTGTAAACCGACGCATTCATCGTGAAGCGTGCAGCTGGCGATTTGCAAAGATTATATAAATATTAATATAAAGATTAATAAAAGGTTACACTCACTTTAGTTCTTCTGAAGGTTCAGCAGGAAGACGAATAGGTTCCGATCCTTTATTCAGGTGCTGAGGTGCAGCTTCTCAGGAAAACCAGCTTTACACTGATCCTCGTTTATAAAGCAGTCCACTGAGAAATGATTCGGCAAACATGAGAGCATCGACGTTGCTCGTGGGGAATATTCCCTTCGAAAACAAACTCAGCCACTGCGTCTTCAGTGGTTCGGATTTAGGAACATTAAAATGACTGCTGTGTTCGTTATTGCACCCAAGAACAGAACACCACAATCGCTTAGACGCCATTCTGCTCATAGACAGTGCTCCAGCATATCAACAATGACCGCGCCGATCCGCGCAGACTATGATTGACAGGACGAGCGAGGGCGGGTCTGTGTTGAATCACAAGCTGTCAATCAACAATCGCGGGAGGGGCGTCCGTTTTATTGACGTCACAAAAACGAACGGCTCAATTTGAGGCAGGGGAAAGCATATAAGGAGATTAAAACAAAAACACTGGATGGATTTTTATCATTATATGATGGTTGTGTACAGGCACTGCCAACACACATTTCAGTACAATCAACTTGTAAAAGTGCATGTACCATTATATGACCCCTTTAACGGTTTTCTATGGGAGGAAAAAGCTTAACGTAGCCTATAATAAAACGCGTTGCGTTCATATTCTGGGCTCATCTGCTTTTCTGTAGGCTATATAGTATGCTTTATTAATAAGGTGTGTAATTTGATCTTTTAATATAACAGATTTAGGACAAAGCCGTTAAGCGTTTTTCACGTTAAGCGTTTTAGAATGTATTTTATCCGCGCACACAATTTGAAAAGACTCAAACGGACACAGGCCGAGTGAAAGACTGGATTTTGTTTGGGTACAAGTGATTTCAAAACATTTCAACCGGTTCTAATTTGATTTTTGGGTACTGTTAACACGTTTAGCTAAAAGACTGCCGCTCCAGTTTAGCGTTTATTGTTGTTTCTGCAGTTAAAAAGACAAAGTTGACAATCCTGGCCATACTTTCTTTATTTTAATAATGTCTTTATTTTTATTTTATTAATTGATCACTCAGGGTGATCTAATTTAACTATTTGTGACTTGTGTTTTGAATATTTGTTCCCCTGCACTTTAGGCATTTTGCACACATTTGTTCTGCTTCTTGTGACTTGATTCTGACTTATTTCATTTTGTATTTTTATTTATTATAAATGTATATTGTGTTCTTAATTGTTGATTATTTTTCAGTGCATCGATGTTGCGTTGTAGGCTTACTTGGAGCATGCTCGTACAGGCAATTCAGCCGATTTAATTTGATTTGCATGTGAAATGCAAATCCTATATGCAGTGTGGCCTTTCTGCAGTTATTTATGTTATTTCTTAGTTTTATTGATCCAAAATGTTTTTATACATTTTCTTCTATATCTTTGTGTGATGTTCTGTAGATCGCGGCTTTAAAATGTTAAAGCCCCGCCCCCTCCCCAACACCACACACATGATTCAACTATTAGTCGACTATAGGCAGGACTTGACGAATCTGATTCGACTATGAAAATCCTTAGTCGGGGACACCCCTAGTGATTAGATGCACATGGTTGTATATAAGGGGGCATAGGTGACAGGAAGTGGTAGGCACAGGTAGGGGGAGCACACACAGTTCTCACCAGACCACGGATTAGAACACACGACTCACAACTGGAAACAAGACAAGAAAACAACTGGTATGTTCATCTTTGATGTACTCTTTACTTCAATAAACCACAAATCTCAACTGCAATAACGGCTGGAAAATCTTGTGTGTCTGCGTAGAAACTTCACTCCTACCTGTGCATGATGGCAAAGAAATATAATTGAACATAGGGCTAAAGGTACAGCAAAGCAAAGATTGCCATTACAAAGACGAAACTCCATAGCTGTGTCCCAATGTGAAGGCTGCGTCCTCCGAAGGCCGCATTTGAAGGCCGATTGGCCGGATTTGAAGGCCGATTGCGTCACAGCGGCGCGACGAAGGCTGTCCCAATTCAAACACTGCGCCCTTCGAAGGCCGCATTCTAAAGCAGATTGCGTCACAGCAGTGCAAAGAAGACTGTCCCAATTCAAACTCTGCACGCTTGGAAGGCCAATTGCGTCACCGCGGCGCGACTAAGTTTGGTATGTCATTCAAATGCGACCCCAAATGCACCCTTCGTTTCTCGGACAAACGAAGTGTACAAAAATGGACACTTCGCGGCCTACGCTTCCCCAGAATTCATAGCGCGCCGGTGACGACGCGACTCACGCGAGTTTATTCAAATAGAATGGCAGGTGTTAGTTGTGTGGTGACCGAGGAATTCAGTTATAAATGTAAGTATTGTGAATTAATTTATTAAAATAACTAGCGAAACAATTGTTAAAGGCATAAATATGGATCAAGCCCTGAGTTAAATGAAGCAAATACTAAAGTACAAAATGCTTTTCTTGCTTAGTTTTTTGGTCTTGTTTATATTATACATTTTAAAAAAAAGCTTTTGGGCTACTAGACAAGCAAAAGTTATTGTATTGTTTTGGGGGGAAAAAACTAAATTAAGTGAGCTTTTGCTTAAAATAAGCAAAATAATCTGCCAAATGGTGTAAGTAAAATAATCTTGTTTTCTGTTTGATTTAAGATTATTTATCTTAACCCATTAGCAAATTATGTTATTGTTTTAAGCAATACCTCACTTAATTTTAAGTTATTTTCCCCCAAAGCAAGAAATGTTTTATTTGTCTAGTAGGCTAAATGCTTCTTGATTTAAGAATTTTTAGATGTTTGGACTAGAAACAAGACACAATATTAATAAACTTTTTTGCAGTGAATTTCAAGTAGGAGGGTATATTGAAGTAAATAAAACAGCAGCACAAATCCAGCTGAAATGTGGTAGATAAACATAGCGGTGTCTGCAATACATTATTTAATTTACCCAAAATAGCTAGCAAAACAGGTGTTAAAACCCAGGGATGTTTCTTAAAAAAACCTGAACTTAAACTAAAAAACTGCAGCTTCATTTATGAGGCAAAACCTGTTATAATACTTTTTGTTTCAGGGACCAAGGAGCAGACGGCTGCATTTATAAAATTACGGGCCGAAAATGACCACTTGTTTACAGGGGCCAAAAACTCGGCCACTGTGGCTTGGAGGTAAAATCATTAACCATTTGTAATATTTCCACTAGCTGCCTCTTGTATACAAAAATTAGCCCTCACCCTGTACAAAGCCCACAGCAATGAGACAAGAACTAGTTAAGGCAATAGTCTTTCACTTAGTGTTTTTTTCAACAAACATTTTAAGCAAACTTGAGGATCCAGGAATATAATTTCTGGTACTTTGTATGCATGTACTGCTGTGTGATTTTCTAATGTTAAGATTGCACCACTGTCTTAATATTTTTCGTAAAGTCCTAACCCTAACCTTTTTCTCCTTTTTTTTTTAGGAGAATTCTGGAGAAAATGGACCTGCTAGGGAAGGTCACTCCCTTGCAGGCCAAAAGAAAATGGGACAAAAAAAAAAAAAAAAAAAAGTAAGCAAGTTAATTGACACATCTTTGCTGAAATGTATTGTGGTGTTCTTCTTGTTAACAACAGGTATGGTGTATTTGCTCTGCCTTAGGATTGCAAGTGTCCTGGGACAGGTGAGGGGGTGAGCGGGAAATCCACTGCTGCAACTTGGCCCTGGTTTTGTCCACATGGATGAGGTCTTGGGACAGAGGCCTTCCAACAACCCCCCTATCCTAATTGCCTCCATCCCTGAGGACAAACCTGGGCCAAGTTCAGCGGTGGCTGACCAAGATAAAGAGCCAGCCCCAGCAGCCGCAGCCCCAGCAGTCCCAGCCGCAGCCCCAGCAGCCAGAGCCCCAGCCCCAGCAGCCAGAGCCCCAGCAGTCCCAGCCCCAGCAGTCCCAGCCGCAGCCCCAGCAGCCAGAGCCCCAGCCCCAGCAGCCAGAGCCCCAGCAGTCCCAGCCGCAGCCCCAGCAGCCAGAGCCCCAGCCCCAGCCGCAGCCCCAGCAGTCCCAGTCCCAGCCCCAGCAGCCGCAGCCCCAGCAGTCCCAGCCCCAGCAGCCAGAGCCCCAGCAGTCCCAGCAGCCAGAGCCCCAGCAGTCCCAGCCCCAGCAGCCAGAGCCCCAGCAGTCCCAGCCCCAGCAGCCAGAGCCCCAGCAGTCCCAGCCCCAGCAGCCAGAGCCCCAGCAGTCCCAGCCCCAGCAGCCAGAGCCCCAGCAGTCCCAGTCCCAGCCCCAGCAGCCAGAGCCCCAGCAGCCAGAGCCCCAGCAGTCCCAGACCCAGCAGCCAAACAGAGGAGACGAGAGCAGAGATCGAATGGACAGACTGTTTACTTTACTTGAGAGAATGATTGAAAAAAAATAATATAATTAAGTTTTTGTATTTATGTTTTTTGTCATTGATTTAAGTTATTTTGTCACTAATTTAAGTTATTTGTAAATGAGGCAAGGCAATTTTTATTCATTGTTTATTTTTGTAATGCTAATTTTTTTTTTTTTTTTTACATTTGGAAATAAAACAATAATTATTCTGGACATTGTTGACTTCTATACATGTTTTTTTTAGCATGTAAAATGAACGTAATGAATGTAAAAGTACTTTTTACAAATATTTACAACAATAGGAAAATAATTCAAATTAACGGTACATAAAACAGATTGGAAAAACAAAAACAACAAAATGTACGCTTTTAGCTGAACAGGTAGACCCTGATGGTGCTGCTGGGCTGGGATGGGCTCCACAATAGAGACCCTGGTAAAGCCTCCTGCTGGTGGGACATCATCTGGGATGGGCTCCAGTCCAGAGTGTTTGAGTGCATGTTTCCACTATCCACTAAGTTGTCTCAATAGGTTTGCAGGGCTGACTCAATCGACGGCTGCCATCTCACTGAGATAATTTTAAAAAGAGGGAAGAATAAAATTAATTAACTTGCGTCCTCAATTCAAAGCGTAAAATATTTCAACATGTAAACCCATTCTATGGACATTCATTTGTGGTCTTGGCCATTATAGCTTTACAGTTCTCTGACTTGCCTGTTACAAGTAGTTGTGGTCAATGGGAACCTCCTCCAGGGCAGACACCTCTGCAGTCAGCCGGTCACGCCAGGGAGCACCGCTGACTGTCTCCAAAACATGCCCCCCCTTATCCTCTGCATCATCCTCCGGGGCCATGATGTCACCAACCCCAAGACAGATGTTGTGGAGGATGGCACAGGCTGTGATGACCTGAATTGAAAAAACAAAACAAGAAATGATATGGTCTGGAAAAAAGAGATGAACCCTGGATGTTCATTATTTTTATATTTTTTGCAAATGTATTTTCAATTCACTTACATGAGGTACAAAAGTGTTGTGCACCTCCAGCGCTTTCAGGAAGATGGATCGGAACCTGGTCTTCATCATCCCAAAAGCACGCTCTATAATGGAGCGTGCCCTGGAATGATGAAGATTAAAGCGCTGGGGTCCCACTCCTCGTACTGGCCTCTTGTAGGGAGTGATGAGGGGGAGTGGGTGTTGGAGACATGGGTACCCTCCGTCTGCGAGGATGAAGTGCCCTGGAGGAGGGTACACTGACCTCCTGTACAGTGGGCTGTACCGGAGCACTCGTGCATCATGCACTGACCCGGGCCAGCCCACGTAGGTGTCAATGAAGCGGCCCTGATGGTCACAAACAGCCTGCAGGATGATGGACGGGAACAGTTTCCTGTTCCGGTAGCACTGACCATCAGGGCCGCTTGGAGGCTTGATACGGACATGGCAGCCGTCGATTGCTCCTGCAGCTTTCAAGAAAGCTCGGTGTCTTGCCAGCCCCGCAAACCCACGGCAAACTGCCTCCAGGTCTTCTGGGGTGTTGGGGAAATGAATGACTTGGTGGCGAATGGCCACCACCTCCTCAGCGACCCGGTGGACAATGCGGTGGACAGTGGCACGAGGCATGTCAAACACTCTGGAGACGACCCTGTATGATGTACCACACGCAAGCCAGAAAAGGAATACCAGGGTCTCTATTGTGGAACCCCATCCGTGTTGGCGTTCAGTCCTCAACAGGCCCAGCAGCACTCTCAGGGCCTCCCTGCTCAGTCGAAAATCAGGTCGTGTGTCCAAATCATTAAAAAACCTGTCCAGAACTGGCACGCTCAGGTTTATCCTGCAGTACAGGGGTCTGGTCTGATTTAGGGAAAGAAACAAAAGAGTTTTAATAAACTACTTTTATTTAGTATGTATTATATGTATTATGCATAAAAAACCCTCGTTGTCAGGGTTTTTAGATATGATGTTGTTGCATTAATAGTACTGCTGCGCTATGTGTATGTTGCATTTTAATTCTGAATATGTTGAAGGGTTTTATATTGAAAGTACTTTACTGTTAAGTAGTTTACTATACAACAATGCATAATATTGTAAAAGACGATGTTTTTGTAGTGTTGCTATCCTGTGTGAGAGAAAACACCCTCATTACTTCACATTTATACGTGAATACTTAACGAATGTACTTGCTTATTTTTTTAAATGATTTATTTTTCACAATATTAAGGAATTGTTGCTAACAACAGATGCGTCCCATATAAGGCTGCATCCGAAGTCGAGCGGGAGTACCGTTGCAGGATTGTTTTTTAAAAAAGGGCATATTTCACTTTATTTATTTATTGTTTTGTGTTTTATGCTTCAATTGCGTTAAAACAAAACACGCTGGAAACATGCATAAATAAGATCACTATGATCAAGAGAATAAACTCCATAAAAATCGCATCTTCATAAGGTAGGCTATAAATGAACATTTGAACAGCTTTATGTGTATTTAGTATTTTCATAAGTACCATTACATTACTCAAGTACACCCAATACTTATGTACATTTTAAAGTGTACTGCAGCAATTAAATTCGCAACTTCTGAATTGGGATGCAGCAAACCAGATTACCTTACCTGGCCACGGTCTTGATCAAGCCGGAGATACATCACCCGGCGGCGCCGGGGATGAATCCCCACCATCTCCTCCAGCAAAACATAAAAGATAAAAATAAAAATGATATATTCTTGCTCCATTTCAACAAGTAATGCCGTGTAGAATGGTAGCTCTCTCCTATCACCGTGTTGCTAGGCGACAGCATAATGGGGAACACCTGGTGGCGCAATTACAAATCATACGAAGGCTATATGGTGCGTCCTTCGAAGGATGCAGCCTTCACATTGGGACACAGCTCATGATTGTTCCGTCATCCATCATCTCCGAGCAGCAATAACAACCAGCTGACATGATTTCTGCTTTTCCTCTCTTGTGTTTTCAGCAAGCGAAGGGAGACTGGATTTATCCAGCTTGGTTGTGTTGCCATCCAGTGGATGATGGATGTTCTGCACTAGTGAGGTGGTGTAAGATCATTTTCACAGGTCGATAAAGTTCTCAGTTATGCGTTTTGGGGATATTAAGTCAAGTCATCCTCATCTATATAGCACTTTTAACAATGTAGATTGTTTCAAAGCAGCTTTACAGAGATAAACATATAATTTAAGGTAACAGACATTGGTTTGGTTTTATAGCGGCTCTTGAATAATGTTATTTTCCAGCTAAAGTTAGATTTGATTGATTTACTTCCGTTGAAATGATCATTTGTTATTAGATTAGGGGCCGCTAAGACGACACCGTTCTCTCTAAACAATTTAAACTCGAATCTGTGATAAATGCGTTCACATGCGCATTAAGAATTGATTTTATAGTTATGTGCATTTGAATATACACTCACCGGCCACTTTATTAGGTACCCCATGCTAGTAACGGGTTGGACCCCCTTTTGCCTTCAGAACTGCCTCAATTCTTCGTGGCATAGATTCAACAAGGTGCTGGAAGCATTCCTCAGGGAGTTTGGTCCATATTGACATGATGGCATCACACAGTTGCCGCAGATTTGTCGGCTGCACATCCATGATGCGAATCTCCCGTTCCACCACATCCCAAAGATGCTCTATTGGGTTGAGATCTGGTGACTGTGGAGGCCATTTTAGTACAGTGAACTCATTGTCATGTTCAAGAAACCAATTTGAAATGATTAGAGCTTTGTGACATGGTGGAAGTAGCCATCAGAGGATGGGTACATGGTGGCCATAAAGGGATGGACATGGTCAGAAACAATGCTCAGGTAGGCCGTGGCATTTAAACGATGCCCAATTGGCACTAAGGGGCCTAAAGTGTGCCAGGAAAACATCCCCCACACCATTACACCACCACCACCAGCCTGCACAGTGGTAACAAGGCATGATGGTTCCATGTTCTCATTCTGTTTACGCCAAATTCTGACTCTAACATCTGAATGTCTCAACAGAAATCGAGACTCATCAGACCAGGCAACATTTTTCCAGTCTTCAACTGTTCAATTTTGGTGAGCTCTTGCAAATTGTAGCCTCTTTTTCCTATTTGTACTGGAGATGAGTGGTACCCGGTGGAGTCTTCTGCTGTTGTAGCCCATCCGCCTCAAGGTTGTGCGTGTTGTGGCTTCACAAATGCTTTGCTGCATACCTCGGTTGTAACGAGTGGTTATTTCAGTCACTGTTGCCCTTCTATCAGCTCGAACCAGTCTGGCCATTCTCCTCTGACCTCTGGCATCAACAAGGCATTTCCGCCCACAGAACTGCCGCTCACTGGATGTTTTTTCTTTTTCGGACCATTCTCTGTAAACCCTAGAGATGGTTGTGCGTGAAAATCCCAGTAGATTAGCAGTTTCTGAAATACTCAGACCAGCCCTTCTGGCACCAACAATCATGCCACGTTCAAAGTCACTCAAATCACCTTTCTTCCCCATACTGATGCTCGGTTTGAACTGCAGGAGATTGTCTTGACCATGTCTACATGCCTAAATGCACGTAGTTGCCGCCATGTGATTGGCTGCTTAGAAATTAAGTGTTAACGAGCAGTTGGACAGGTGTACCTAATAAAGTGGCCGGTGAGTGTATGTGCGCAGGTTTGTAATTCCCTACAAACCATGCCTAAACAAACTACTTGTCTTGCCTATAAATTTTAATACAGAATTTTATTTTATCACTTCGGGGTACGCGAACCGAAATTCCACAACGCTTGATCTGTAGAGTGGTATAGGGATCCTCCATAGGGAGAGGATAGTTGACACTTCAGCACTGCATTGTCATCGGGTCCAGGCGAATCTCCTTCGTCAGATCTGGATATGGCCTGGATCCGGCATGCTGCGGTAAAACCTCGGGATAAACAAAGACACTAAAGTTAGCGTAGATGCCATTCTTCTTATGATGTAACGAGTACATCTGGATTTAAGGGAAGTGTTCCCAGTTCCGGCTGACCTAATCTATGCAGCCTAACATTGAATTATAGAAGTCGATAATGTATTGTGTATGCTAGGTCAAAGAGATGTGTTTTTAGTCTAGCTTTGAACTGACAGAGTGTGTCTGCTTCCCGGACAGTGGTAGGAAGATTGTTTCAAAGTTTTGGTGCTAAATAGGAAAAGGATCTCCCGCCAGCAGTCGATTTTGATATTCTAGGTATTATCAACTAGCCGGAACTTTGAGATCGCAATAGACGTGAAGGACTATAATGCGTTAAAGGGGTCATATAATGCCATTTTTGTACAAGCTAATATGATTCTTTAGGGTCTAAATTAAAAGTTTGTAATATACTTTAATTAAAAATTCTCATTAGTATTGTAAGAAAACAGTTATTTTACCTGGCCAAAAACAGCTCTGTTTTCAGCACGCCGTTTCAGTGCATATGACTTTGAATGATAATGAGCTTTGCTCACCCCGCCCCTCTGTTCTGTGCGTACACCGTTGTAACACAATAACCATAACGCGTTGTTCATTATAAACGTGGGATTATGAATTATATTGAGAACGTCGTACATAGAAAACATGACGTAATGCACCCTGAGTGTAAACCTTAGACGCATTCATTGTGAAGCGTGCAGTGCAGCTAGCGATTTGCAAAGATTAATATAAATATTAATATAAAGTTTAATAAAACGTTACACTCACTTCAGTTCTTCTGGAGTACACAAATATCTGGTACCGATCCTTTTTTCATGAGCAGCTTCTTAGCAAAACCAGCTTTATACTGACCCTCGTTTATAAAGCAGTCTGCTGAGAAATGATTCGCGCAAACATGAAATCATTGACGTTGCTCGTGGGGAATATTCCCTTCGAAAACAAACTCAGCCACTGCGTCTTCAGCGGTTCGGATTCAGGAACATTAAAATGACTGCTGTGTTCGTTATTACACCCAAGAACAGAACACCACAATCGCTTAGACACCATTCTGCTCATAGACAGTGGGTGCTTCTCAATATCCCTCCTCGTCTCCTCGCTCCTCCGTCCTCCATCCTATGACCCGGAAACCGATCGAGCTCAGCCATCTTGAAGGACATCTCAATTCTCTAATTGCACCGCGAGGAGGCGAGGATCGAGGAGTGAGGAGGCTTCCAGAGGAGCTATGAGCGAGGATGCACAGGTGTACCCTTTGCGGAAGAGTTTTATCGACTAAACGTGACGCACGTATCAATTCTCCTCCCCCTTCACATCTGTCACAATCATTTGAATTTATACTTTACTTTTGTAGTTTACATAAACCACACAACTCACATATTTCAACAAGGTATCTTGCTTTATTATTATTTATTATTAATTTCTTAAATAAACAAACTTTAACAACATAAGGGCAGATCCTTTGAGCGCAGCTGATGACGCAGTGAAGTGACGTTCGAGTGATCAAGTATTCCAATGTATAAAAAAGCTTTCATTCAATTCCTCCGTCCTCATTTTTTTTCCTTGCAGCCTTCCCTCGCGTCCTACAGGGGGTGGAGCTGAGACGCGAGGAAAGGAAGCGAGGAAAGGAAACGAGGATGCACAAATAAGAAATGAGAAGCACCCAGTGCTCCAGCATATCAACAATGACTGCGCCGATCCGCGCGGACTATGATTGACAGCTAGCTCACGAGCGAGGGCGGGTCTGTGTTGATATGCTGCTGTCAATCAACAATTGTGGGAGGGGCTTCCGAGCGTGTGACGTCACACGGTCGAACGGCTTGATTTGAGGCAGGGGTAAACGTATAAGGAGATTAAAACAAAAACACTGGATAGATTTTTATCATTTTATGATGGTTGTGTACAGGCACTGCCAACACACATTTCAGTACAATCAACTTGTAAAAGTGCATGTACCATTATATGACCCCTTTAAGAGCTCGCTCAAGCACTGGGGAGCTAAACCATTTAGTGCTTTGTAAGTAATCAGCAATATTTAAAAATGTATACGATATTTAATAGGGAGCCAAGTGGGGGGGCTTTTGATCCCTCAACCAGGGGGCCTGTGAAAATGCTAAGTAGTGCTTTGACCAGCTGACCCAGAATGGGAAATCTCACACCTCTCTCTGGATTTTTCATGGATACAACTCTGCTCCACCAGTCTACATCAACTCGGCCTTCCTCTTCAATGTAGTTCTGGGCACACGTTACCAGGTCCACCTCTATTTGGTACGCCCGTATCTCTTCCTCTAGTTGACCAATCTCTTCTGGTGCGACCACATTAGGCAAGGCCTCTCCTAATGTGATAAAAGCCCCACAGATGGAGTCATCTTAAATCAGAGAGGGAGTGAGTGCAGAAAGTGAGGTGATTATCTTGTTGTCCAGAGGAAGGTTTTTGAGAAGGAACTCTGATGACTTCATGTATCCTTCTCTGAGAGAGTTGTAAATGTTTCTCACCCATATCTTCCTCTCCACACGGGCCTTGTTCATTGCAGAGTAGCAGTATCTTCCAACAGACAACCTTTTGTCTGATAGTTGCAAATCTCTACTCCAGCCATCAACCTTGATGATATCCTTTGCACTCAGTGGGATGGCTTCCGGCTTCATAAATTTGCTGAGGAGCTCTCTAACTAGGGCCACCATCTCCACGTGCAGCAAGTGCACCATTGGTTTTTCATGTTGCATTTTTTTCAAAAATCCCTGAAAAGTTGAAAGTACGCCTGCAAACATAAAACAAAATGTTACTTTGATTTTACATTATTTTCACATGCGTAAAAAAAAAACTTGTCACAACAAGACAACAGAATTAAAGACAA